CCCAAATGAATATGTTGGGGGAAATTAACACATCAAATTTGAATAAAAACAAAATAAAAATCAGTTTTCTCCAAGTGCTTCGATTTCCCCCACAAGTTCAAGGACATGAGCTGTTCACCTTATTCTTCACTGACGAGCGGGCGCTGCCATTTGAATCTTTTTGGCTTGAGACTTCCGGTCTCACTCACTTCCATTCATTTTTAGACATTAAAAACGGCTCGTTTTGCTGTTTGATGTTGCAAACTGATATTTTCTTATTATATTATTCTACTTGGTCTGTATAGTCATGCAAACATTTGTTTGTTGAGCAAGTAGTTTGACCGTTTTCTGCCGTTTATTATTCCTTGTCATTTCTCCCATAGGCGACTGAATCGGAAGTTCAAAGACAATCGCGAAAACAGGCGCACTTCCGCATTTTAGAATAAGGTCAATAGGTGAATTGGGTAGTGTATGTGTATGAATGTGTATGAATGTTTCCCAGTGAAGGGTTGCAGCTGGAAGGGAATCCGCTGCGAAAAACATTTGCTGGATGAGTTGGCAGCTCATTCCGCTGTGCCGACCCTAGATTAATAAAGGGACTAAGCCGAAAAGAATATATTCATTTTCTGGGGGGTGGGGGTGTGGGGTTACTCATTTATTCTACGTTCTGTGTTTAAATCTAATATATGTCTGATTTCAATCTTTTATGAACACACAAATACAACAACACTCCTATTATTAATGAGATGACAGAGTTAGATGTTAAAAAAAAAAAAAAGGTTTAAATGTAAACATATGCATCTCTGTACTGTGCTGAAAGCCACTGGCAGCCAAACAGCTTCAGAGTCACAGCATGTGACAGTATGGATGATGTGTGTGTGTGTGTGTGTGTGAGCGTGTGGTAAATGATGGGTTATGTGTTATTGCAGTGTAGTGCCAGACCCGACACTCCAGCAGACTGGCAGCCAATCAAATGCTTCATGACCTTCCAGTCTCGCCACGCTAACAAGCTGGACGACAAACAAACCCTGACCTGTCGAAAAAAACACCACATATGACGAGTCCTCACACCACACAGACACACAAACACACTCACGCATGCACATACACAGTCAAACCAGCAGAGTCACACAAAATCACTGCTACTATGAATTTACACTGATCTTACACACCGTTACAACTTTTCTGTTGATCAATTAAATAAAGTTACAGATTTAAAAATAAAATTGTTCCAGATTTACTCATCATGAAAAAACAAACGTGTAATTTAGTTAAAACTAAAAGCATTTCATAAATACTGTAGATTTTATATTACAGTGTATGTATGTATGTATGTATGTATGTATATATATATATATATATATATATATATATATATATATATATATATATATATATATATATATATACATACACACACATACATACACACACATCTCTAAGACTCTTTAAAGTGAAATTTCCCCATTCTGAATCAGTGCTACTATCTGAAATAGTATGTTTTTTGACAGTCTACATTTTAAAATTCTCTAGTTTAAAGTTGTTCATTCATTAATTGTATAACTCACTCATTGACTTATTTCACCCACTCATTCATTTAATAATTTATTAGGTTTTAATAACTCATTTACTCACTCATTAGTCCACTCATTCACTTATTAGTTCAATCACTCGTTACTCATTAATTTATAATTAATTATATATCTCACTCATTGTCACTCATTAGCTAACTCACTTATTCATTCATTCACTTACTCTTTAATTAAATAACCCACTCATTACTTCGCTCATTCATTTATTTCACCCACTCATTAATTCAATAATTCACCTAATTTGTTTTTTTTTTATTAAATGTATAACTCACTCATTAGTTCATCCATTTAACATCCATTTGCTTATTAGTCCAATCACTCATTCATTTAATAATTAATTATACATCTCACTTGTTCACTCATTAGCTAAATCATTTATTAAGTTACTCATATACTTACTCTTTTATTACATAATTCACTCATTCCCTCATTTGTTCACTCATTAATTCAATAACTCATCTAGTTTGAAGTTTTTCGTTCATCCACACATTCATTAATTGTATAACCCACTCATTTATTATTTCACTCATTACCTAGTCCAATTGCTCATTACCCATTCATTTAATAATTAATTACATATCTCCCTCACTCAATCAATAGCTAACTTCACTCACTCATTCCTTCACTCACTTAATTATATAACTCACACATTCACTCACTCATTAATTCACTCACTCATTAATTCACTCATTCATTCACTAATACATTTATTCTTCCATTCACTCAATGATATAACTCACACATTCACTCATTCATTGGTTTACTCATAAAGTCACTCACTAATTTACTCATTCATTCAATAATTAAATATATAACTTATTCACTCCCTCATAAATTCTCTCACTCATTTAAATCATTTGTTCAACTCACGCATACATTCACTCATTCATTTATATTAATTTACACATTCAGTAACACAATCGTTCATTTTTTCAATCATCACTCATTTATTTACTCATTCATTCACTCCTTCAATAATTAAATATATAACTCACTCCTCAGTTCACTCAATCCATTTACTCATTAGTTCACTCATTCACTTAGTGCACTCACCCACTAATTCATTCATTCACTTAGTCATTCTAAAATAATAACATCCATTTATTCACTCATTAGTTCCCTCATTCACTCTGTCTTTCTTTCTTTCATTCTTTCTTTCAGTCGTTCATTCATTCATTCATTCATTCATTCATTCATTCATTCATTCATTCATTCATTCATTCATTCTATAACTCACTCTTACATTCATTCACTTACTCATTAATTTACTCACTCACTCATTCATTTATTCATTCATTCATTCACCACTCATTCATTCGCTCCATCACTCCTTTGTTCACTCATTCATTTATTTATATAACTCACCCATTTATTCAGCCATTTATTTACTCACTCTTTCATTCATTCCCTGTGTGATCTTCTCAACATGAACAGATGTGTCAGAAGCAGATGCACAGACAGACGGAGCAGCACAGCGTACGGAGGTGAAGGAGAGTGCAGCATGATGAAGAATACGTGTATGAATGGCTGCTGGTTTGCGACACCAGATTCACCCTCTCTGCTCAGCCAGAGCCTCATTCAGGTAGTGAATCACCTTTGGAGCGAAGCGCCACCATCGCCATCAGCAGCGGAACAGATGTCTCCTGTAACCCAGCGCTGTCGACACATGGAGCAGCCATCTGGACTGTGTGTGTGAGAGAGTGTGTGTGTGTGTGTGTGTTTATTCCCATGACACACGGAGCACCTGAGCATGCTGGCATTTTTTTTGGTGGGATTTACCCATGTTCCTCTAGATGAGGATGTGTTTATGATGACGTGGGCCGCAGTGATGTGATTAGATGAAGACGGAGCCTCGGGCCTGAACACAAGCTCTCTCTCTCGCACACACACACACTTAGCATGCATTCTTGTGTTTCAGGGGCTGTGCCTACTTAATCTGTTTTTGTGGACTTGAGGGGGTGATAGAGTTGCATTCAAATGTCTGTGCCATTTAAGTCAACGTGAATCATCTGCTTTCATGTATTTTGGGAGTGAGAAAAGATATAGAAAGAGAAATAAATATGTATATACATGATAAATAAAAGCAAAAGCAGAATAAAAGCAATTATTAATTTTTTATTTTTTTATAAAAAAATTTAAATGTCTTTTTAAGTTGTATAGAAGTGTCTTGAAAAATATCAAGTATTATTTACTGTCATTATGGCAAAGATAAAATAAATCAGTTATTAAAAATAGGTTTTTAAAACTATTATGCTTAGAAATGTGCTGAAACAATCTTCCCTTCATTAAACAGAAATTGGGGGAAAAAAATAAACAGGGGCGCTAATAATTCAGGGGGGCTAATAATTCTGACTTCAACTATATATTATATTTTCTTATTAATCTGTCCAATTACTTTTGGTCCCTAACTAGTGGGAGGCACATATACAAACTGTTGTAATTCCTACAGCGTGATTTGGATGTAAATACCCTCAAATTAAAGCTGACATTCTGCAGTTTAAGCAAACGATGTTCGTTTCATTTCAAATCCCTCGTGTTGGTGTAAAAAGCCAAAAATATTAGAATTGTGTTGACGTCCAAATATTTATGGACCTAACTGTATGTGTAAGCATATATATGTATAGGGATATAAAGGTAAATTACATTACCTAATTGAAAATGTGTATAAATATGTTTGATTTAAAAAAAAAACATTATACTTAATTTTATGACATATTTCAATTGATTCTAGAAGCTAGCTATAACCTTCACGTGCTCAGCATAACCCTGTAAATCTGCCAAACAACAATCGAGCAGAAACCCAAAACTGACCCGAGACATACAGTACACCTGGTGTTGTGTTACAAATCACATTTCTAACAATTTACACAACGCAATGAGCTGCGAAATTGAGCTCATATTTGCACTCACACAGAGCACGTTTCAACACCCTACAGCCCCGAGATCTCATATGCGCACTGAATAAACAGCTGAAATATTGCTCACAGCACATAAACCCCTTTATGCACACACATTCATTAGAATAAATCCTGCTTGGAGAAACAAACAAACAAAAAAGGCTAAGTGAAAAAAAAAAATCGGCACAGGCCTGCTGCTCTGCACAAACACAATAGCCACGTTCGCGAGTGTTTATGTTTGGTAATGCCATGAAAATCATAGTTTGGACTTCTGCTCGGGTCTGCAGGGATCCGGCGGCAGAATGAAACACACGCAATGACGTACAGAGAGACAGATTTTTTGTGAAGAACAGAAACCAAATGAAAGCACATTCACCCCCGCCACCTCTGAGAAAACAGCAAACCAGACAGAAGAGCAGCAGAGAGAGACAGTGATAAAAGACACAAGTGTGTGTGTGTGTGTGTGTGTGTGTGGTAAATACAGCAGTAAATGTATATATGTAAATATAATATGAGGGTAATGTGGTCTAACCATGGTAAGGAAACTGCACGCCATCGGATTCGTGTTTTATCTTCCTCTCCTGCATACTGGCCAAATGGTGTTGCACTGAAAAAACCCAAACAGGGGAAGAGAATAGAGTTAACAATGAGACGAGAGATGAAGAGATTTTGGAAATCATCTTAAGCACTATATAGTACACACTTTAAAGAATAAAAACATCATGATGTCATAGACGAGCATCGCTTAAATTCTGAAGACTGGTCAGTGAGCATCTGATAGAGCATGGGGCATAATATCTAATAAGCATTGGCTGCGTCGCATTTGTATCATTTCTGTGTAGGCTAGTAAGTGAGATCTGAGTGATCAATAGTAGGTGGAATGACATAAACATGACTTGTTATTTCCAGATTAAAAAGTATGCATGAAAAAATATACTAGTGCTGTGAAACGATTAATTGTGATTAACTGCATCCAAGATAAAAGCTTGTGTTCATATAATAAATACATGTGTATTGTGTATATTTATGTATACTATTATAATTAGTATGTTTCTTTTTTATTATTTAATCATTATGTATATTATAGAATTATTATGTATATTACATTTATATAAACTCACCGGCCACTTTATTAGGTACACCTTACTAGTACTGAATTGGACCCTTTTTGCCTTCAGAACTGCCTTAATCCTTCGTGGCACAGATTCAACAAAGTACTAGTAATATTCCTCTGAGGTTTTCTTCCTTATTGACATGATAGCATCACGCAGTTGCTGCAGATTTGTCGGCTGCACATCCATGATGCAAATATTGTGTTCCACCACATCTTAAAGGTGCTCTATTGGATCGAGCTCTGGTGACTGTGGAGGCCATTTGAGTACAGTGAACTTATTGTCATGTTCAAGAAACCAGTCTGAGATGATTCAGGCTTTATGATATGGCGCACTATCCTGCTAGAAGCAGCCATTAGAAGATGGGTACACTGTGGTCATAAAGAGATGGACATGGTCAGCAACAATACTCAGGTAGGCTTTAGTGTTGACACCATGCTCAATTGGTACTAAAGGGCCTACAACCTGAATGTTGCAGCAGAAATGGAGACTCATCAGACCAGGCAAAGTTTTTCCAATCTTCTATTGTCCAATTTTGTTGAGCCTGTGCAAATTGTAGCCTCAGTTTCCTGTTCTTAGCTGACAGGAGTGGCACCCGGTGTGGTCTTCTGCTGCTGTAGCCCATCCGCCTCAAGGTTGTATGTGTTGTGCATTTAGAGATGCTCTTCTGCATACCTTGGTCGTAATGAATGTTTATTTGAGTTAATGTTGCCTTTCTATCAGCTGGAACTAGTCTGGCCATTCTCCTCTGACATCAACAAGACATTTGCGCACACACAGAACTGTCGCTCACTGGATACTTTCTCTTTTTCAAATCATTCTCTGTAAACCCTAGAGATGGTTGTGCGTGAAAATCCCAGTAGATCAGCAGTTTTTTGAAACACTCAGATCAGCTCGTCTGACACCAACAACCATGCCACATTCAAAGTCCCTAAATCACTTTTCTTCTCCATTCTGATGCTCGGTTTGAACTACAGCAGATCGTCTTGATCATGTCTACATGTCTAAATACATTGAGTTGCTGCCATGTGATTGGCTGATTAAAAATTTGCGTTAACGAGCAGTTGGACAGGTGTGCATAATAAAGTGGCCGGTGAATGAATATTTACTTATCAAGTCATTATTTGGTTAATGTCCATATTATGAAGCATATATACAATAAAAAAAAGTGTATGTGGCATTGGCACTTGAACATTTAAAATATTTGCTTTAATTTATTGAGTGACCAGTGTGAGAAAATAAATAAAATAGATAAAAACCAACATCACATTAGAACTGCTAAAATGAACTGTCTGCTCATTATGCAACACAATATATGCTTTTCCACACAAAATATCAAGGTAACCATAGTTCCAAAAAACATAATCACAGTTATGAGGCAATTTATTTTCTTCAATGAAATTCAATTCCATAACATTTTGGCAGGCACAATGGTTACCACAATACATACAGTATTTTAACAATTGACATTCAAAACCTAAAATAAAAAGAAAACTGAAAAAGAAATATACAAATCAAGATATAAAGCAATTAAATAAATGGTAAAATTGTAAGAAAAACCTCAATTTAAAAAGTATTAAACAATATCCTTTATTTAGTGAAATGCTGTATGAAAACTGAATTAGAAAAATCTGAACTGAAAAATAAATGTAAAATAGCAAAGATCAATATAGCTTATCTAATCGACCAAAATTACCAAGTTAACCTAATTAATCACACTTTAATCTGAATACTAGTATCTTGCATAAAATATTATATGCTGTCATCATGGCAAAGACACAAGAAATCAGTTATTAAATCTCTTACACTACAGATATATGAATGCAGAGCTCAAAGCTCACGGGAGTCATACACAATATCAATTCTTTTTCCACTGCACCATGACTTTATATTCTACACTGTACATTATTTCTTTCTCAAGACTTTTGTCTAAGCAAAGTCAGACCTTTCTGTCCTAATTAAATAATTAAAAATCAAGGCATGATCATATTTTATTTTGGTAAAATAAGTCTAATCTAGAGGCCTTTACCTTTTATATAAGCCACTTCTGATACCAACTGATCACTTAGAAGTCAAGTTATTATGTATTGTTCCTAAAACTTAGATAGGCAACAAGTCTTTTGTCAGGTAGTTTATGTTTTAAAATTTATAAAAAAAATGTTGCTGCTTTAATCGGCACTTGGGAAATACTTGATAAAATTTAAGATTGCAATTAATTTGGTTTTTAACTGTATATATGTATATATTAGTGTGGTGGGCAAAGCAAAGCAAAAACAAAAGCCTAAAAAAAAAGACAAATTAAAAGTTTAACGAACAAAATGAAAAGTCTGACTCTTCACACAGCTCAAATCCAGCACAATCATGAGTTTTGATTGAATCTGACTATTAATTATACAGTTTAGTTCTGCCTGAGTAAATGGCACACAGGAAAAAACTAGCCTTTAAGAGACAATACTGAATTATTGTATATTGTCCCCCCCCCCGCCTCCCAAACAGCTTGTATTTACTCTTAAAGTACACATGAAATCATAATTTCCGATGTTTATTTCGCTATAACTGTGCAAACTGTTATTCTTTAAGTAAACAATTAATTTGTGTAACAAAAAAAAGTGTGTTTTGGTAATCTTCAATCAAAGTCTGACCACTTTCTTCGGCGGAGTGTTAGTTCTTCTCTGATGACATCAGTTTGATGGCTTCAGCCACAATATTCTTAACCATGCCCCTCTTACTGTAAGATTTCTTTGAGGGAATGATGCGCAAAAGGAAAGCCCCGACCCCTACTCAGTATACCATTTCAGTTGGAAGTACATCAACATACTGAAATAAAAGTCTCAGTGAGCTTCTGGTTCATACTGACTTTAAGATAAATAAAGCGTTGGTATAAATATAAAGAACTTTACTGTTTGGACATCAGTTGTCTAGATCAGTGAAGATCAAACGCAGTGTGTGAAGAGCCAGAGGGCTGCTGGGTAAAGTGGTCATACCTGCATCGACGTCATTGGGCCAGCCGCTGGGCTGAGACGCTCCCGGGGCAGGAGAACGACCCGAGTAGAAGACATCGTCCACTGGGCTCTCCATCTCACTGTCATCAATAGATTTACGCTTGTTGGAGCTGAAAGAGCAAAGAGAGAGAGAGGGGTGAGCAATTTATTTTAATTTATGTTACAGTTTTGAGAACTGTAAAACACTGACATAAAAAAACGACTGGGTGCACACTACATTTACCATGACGTCTATTCTAATGGATCATCAGAAGGTATAGAACAATGTATTCTGAGTGTTTAGGTCAAGGGAGCCTGATTCCTTTTTATCTCTATTTATTTATTTGTATCACATATACAATTATCAGCAATAAATAATGAACTACAAATAATGTAGAATGAACACTCCAAATAATAAAGAACATCATATATGGAGATGTTTTCTTGTAGAGCTGTTTTGTCATCACTTTAGACATTACGCTATATAGAGTCATTCAAACACTAGCTCTAAAGTGACGTTGTGAATTAGTAACACCTTCTGCTGTTCTGACATCAGCTGCAGATGCGTATAAATGGCATAAGAAAGTAGTTCCTAATCAAAAGGGGTTTTTGAACTTTCCGTGTTTGATTTTCTTATATACACGATTGTGGCGTCAAACTGTTGTTTAAACCCAACATCCCACTTGTAGCAGTGCGATGCTAAGGTATTTTCTTGATGGAAGCTCGTTGATGCCCTTTCAGTTACGAATAAACTCCTTTATTTATTTGATCCATTTTGGATCCGCCACTTCTGGATCCATGCTCGGGTTCTCAAATTACACTTCACCTCTGGAGATAGAATGTTATGGAATGCTTATTTTCAGCCTCCCATATTCATAACTAGGATTTATAAAGGTATACCAACGTTAGTCCATTTTATTCTTAGTGTTTGTGAGATTAGTGTTGTTACAAAATCTACATTTTAGTTAGTTGTGCAGGGTGATTTTTGTGGCATTTGCAATAAAAAATTAAGCTATTTTTGCAATTTTCATTTTTAAATCGAAGTAACTTAAACCCAAGTCAATCATATCTTAGTGATCAATAAAACTGTCAAAGAAACATGAGGCAGAACTGTTCCGTTCAATTATTTTCTGCGAATAATATTCAGAACAGAAACTAATTATAGTACATAACAGCAAAAACAAAAAATCCAATAAAGCCATTTTTTTTGCATTTAAAATACTATAGTAATTTGTATTAAAGGGAAATATTTAGGAATGAGCATTATATTGTAAATATATAATATATTTACAACTCTTCAATAATGAATTAAACTACATAATATAGTATCATAAGTAACTATAAACTAATAGTAATTACCAGAATATACTTTAGCCTTTACTACAGTAAACTATATATATATATATATATATATATATATATATATATATATATATATATATATACCTCCTCTCTCAAGGTCATCTTTCCATCAAGCAAATTTCTTGTGTTAGCCTATTTGATAACTGTAATTTAATTACTCATGTTTTCTCCAGAACTGTAACAATTTACACTTTAAAGAATTACTTTTATGTTGTAATTAAATTATGTAATGCTGTTACATGTAACTAGTTACAGTACTCCCCAACCCTGTTATAATTAGTATCAGTGTGATATATTGTTTTATATATATACACATCATATATATACAATATATATATACTTATATATATATATATATATATATTGTGGCGAGGGGGCGTGGCCAAGAGCCGTGGGAACGGAGTGAGGCCACCGCGTAAGTGCATACACCTGCGGTGTGCACCTGCTTCGGATCCCACGGAAGGAGCTCTGGACGATAAGAGGAGGAACGATGGCAGAGGAAGCCGAGAGAGGACCGGGCCCGGACATATTTTACTTTTGCTTTCAGTTTGATGGCAGTCTCCGTGAGGAGCTGCCGTCTGTTTGTTTTGGTTTAAACGGCAGCCTCCGTGAGGAGCTGCCGTCACTGTTATTAATAAATCATTTTAAAATTGCATCGGTTCTCCGCCTCCTTCTTCCCAGCAGCCAAAGGGCTGGAACCTCATTACAGTGGTGCCGAAGCCCGGGAGAAGGAGGGACGCGTTGTCTAGATGCCCTCACCGCTGAGAGAGGGGGCGAGTGTTCGGGAGTTAACCCGAGTGGGGGAGAAACCAGTTCGTCTGCACAGAGTGCCGGGGCGGCCTGAGGCTGGCGAGGAAAGGATCTGCCTGCTACCGTCTCCCAGCATGGGGAGGAGCAGGGGACGCGGGGCTCACCACCGGAGGGGAAAGTGCTGAAGGGAGCCATCCCACAGAACCCGGGGGAGTCGCCGCGATCCGCCATGATGCCAGAGCCTGCATTCTTCCACCGAAGCGGGAGCGGAGCAGGAGACCAGAGATGCCGCCAGCCAGCCAGGAGAACCGCCGCCGGACGCCAGAAGACGGACGGGTGGATAGATTCCTCCAAAGGGCTCCCAGCACGTCGTTGCATCTCTTAGCTGGTGGAGGGCCGAGTGGCAGCGTGTCTGGAGAACCGAACCCCAATTTTTTTTTCCTCTCTCTCCTTTCTCGGTCTACTCTGTCTTTCCACCTCTTTTTTTTTTTCATTTTCTTTTCTCTCGGCCCGTCTCATATAGGTCTCGGGGGTGCTGTGGCGCCAAACCGCCTCCTTCTTCCCGGCGGCCAAAGGGCCGTGAACCTCATTACATATATATATACTTATATACAAGTTTGGATATTTATTTGTGTGATATATTGCTATAACATTTTGATTTTAGATGAAACCAATGAAATTAATTTACTCAACCTGTTACACAATTGATTGTGAATACCTGAAACAACTGATTATTTAAGCAGCTAGACGTAAAGAATCATTAAATTGATGAAGGCACGCAGCCGAAAGGCTTTTTAACTTCTTCTGGGATTTATTTAATAAATTACCGAGAGTGGACTTTCTTTGGACCAGCAAATATACACCGTTAAGAGTAGTTTATATGGTGACTTCACAAATTGTGTAACAACATTTTTAAAAATAGCACTGTCCTCACTTTCAAATACACAAAGTTGTTGCCATATGCCAAAATAAATCAAAACAAACTAATAAAAACATATATATGTTTTAGAAACATGAAATTCATGAACATTAACAATGCAAACTTATTTGGATATATTTCATTATTGTTTATTTACCTCAAAAATGCTAATGCTACAATCACATAAAAATATAGATATATAGTTCACCCAAAATCATCACTGATTGGATATTATAGGTTGTCTTAGTAAAGGAAAACACATAAGACAGCACAGCTCAAAGTGAATCAGACTGCAAGAAGTGAATCAGACTTTACAGGAAGGGAATCAGACGACAAGAAATACCTCCGCGGGAGACTGGCATACAACTCCATCTCAGTCCTGCAGCGTTTGAAACATGGCGGAAAGACAAGAGAGAGAAGGGGACAGCAGAAGAGAAAAGGTAAAGAGACAAAAATGATACAGACAAAGGTGAGAGGAAGAATAGAAGATAGACAGAAATATTTACGTACAAAGAGGAAGCACGAGGCAGGTGAGTGCCACTAGCATGCATTAAACTACCGACCCAGAGACAGACTTGCTTGTGAAGCTGATTAAGACATGTCAGATTCTGTTAGTATAGAGTTAGAGATGGACCCGAGCTTGGGGCATAAATGCCACAGAAATACACCATTTTGTTCTGTAATTCTTAATTGTTTTAACACTTAATATCTAATGTTTTAGCAGATTTTTAAAATGTGGTGACACTTTAGTTTAAGTACAAATTCTCACAATTATTATTAATATATATATTCTATATATTCTGCATGATCTTATTTTATATCCCTGATGTCTTAATAACAAGCAGCAAAATATTAAATATAAAATTTTGTTGAGGCAAAAGTGACAATTAAATGGTTTGTTAAAGGGATAGTTCACCCCAAAATGAATAATTACTCATTATTTATTCTCTCTTTAAGTATTTCCAAACCTTTATGACTTTTTTCTTATGTCGAACACAAAAGAAGATATTTTGAAGAATGTTAGAAACCGGTAACTATTGACTTCCATAGTATAAAAAACTAATACTGCTGTATGGATGTCAGGATTCTGCCACTCTGGTCTTGGTAACTCTTGTTTCGGTGGCCAGACACTAGTCCTGTTATGCCTTGTGTGTTGTGCTCGGCTTGAGTTTTCTCGGGTCGAGCACTCATTTTCTGTCATTGTGTGTTTTGTATGAGTGTTTGGGAGTGATGTTCTAGGCGTGTTTGTGATGTGAGCTCTCGTCCTGGTGTTTGTGTTTGTTCTGTATACAGCGTGGTGTTTCATTGCAGCGTCTAGTTTTGGTTGGCACTGGGATGAAACATGCATGTCTTATGTTCTGTTTGTGTTGGTATTGTTAAAGCACGTGGCCTGGTGTTTACAGTTTGGCCATTTGCTTTAGTGTTGTGTTTATGTGAACACATGGTTAATGAGTTCTCTCAATGGCTACATGTTCTAATCCTGTTTTACATGTGCACATGGCTTTTGGTGTTTATTTGTGTCATGTGCTCTCCTGTTATTGTCTAGTCCAGGGATGGGCAAACTTGATCCTCGAGGGCCGGTATCCCTGCAGAGTTTTGTTCTAACACTAGTCAAACACACCTGAACAAACTAATCAGTGTCTTCAAGATCACTTGAACTCTATAGGGAGGTCTGTTTGAATAGGGTTGGAGCTAAACTGTGCAGGACACCGGCCCTCCAGGAACGAGATTGCCCACCCCTGGTCTAGTCCCACCCTCCTTATTAACCCATTATTAGTTTATTATGTTCCCCTGTTTGTTTTGTTAATTATTACTGTTATATTCTCCTCTTGTCTAATGTCCTGTGCCAGTTCATCGTCATTACTTCCCCTGTGTTCCTGCTCCAGTCCAGTCCAGTCCAGCCAAGTTTATTTTCCTATTTGTGTTCTAGTTATGTTTTTTTTTCCCTTGGGGTGGTTTTTGTTTTCCCTTTTTTTATTTTAATTATCAATCATAGTTTGTTGCACTTGAGTTCTCGCTCCCTTAGCCTTCCTGAGACCGTGACAATGGAAGTCAATGGTCACTTGTTTCCAACCTTCTTTAAAATATCTTCTATTGTGTTTGACAGAAAAAAACAACAGATTTGTGACATGCGAAGTGTGAGTAATTGAGTAAAATATCCCTTCAATAGCCAAGAATTGAACCTTAAAATAAAGTATGATCTTTAATCCTTACCCTATATAATTATTCGTATGCAAAGTTATTCAAGATGAATTTTAAACAGGTTAAAAAAAACGAGTAAAATGTAAAAATAATTACTTTTTAAAAATGAAAAACAGCAAATAAACTGTGTTAAAGTTTAAACAACTGTAAACACTACCATTGTGTTTTGTTCCCTAAAGATCAGCAATCACTACATTTAACAGAACTAATTAATCAGAGTAACTCTAAAATTTTAGCATGGAAGATCCCAATTTTTAACAATTTGAATGCACTTGGCGCTCAGAATGAAAAGAGTGTGTGATGTTGTGTGTACCTGGTTGATGGCGTGGACGTAATGGAGCGGCGACCCAGGTTAATGTTGTAGTATCCTGGACTGTCAAGGTCGGCCAGAGAGAAGTTGGGTCCGGTCGCTGTGGCAACTGGTGCTAAATTAGATAAAAACAAAGAGAAGTCAGATTAATAAATCCCATCATGCATCACTATTCACATGACAGCTTTCTTTAATGCCAGATATAAAGTAAAAATCACAGAAACATTGAAGATTCTCAAGTGACATGAGCGCATACAGTAAAAGCATTTTTATTTTTGCTTGCTTTTATTTCTTTATACATTTTTGTTTAATTATAGTACAACAAAAAATTACAAAAATGATATTTATATTGTACATTTCAGATTTCTATTTTAAATAAATGTGAATCTTTATAATCATTAAAGAGTCCTGAAAACAAATGCGTCACAGTTTCCACAAAAAAAATGAGGCAGCAAAACAATATTGATAATAATAAAAACGCATTGACCCTCAAATCAGCATGTTCAATCCACAGTTTTCAGGTTTATTTTTATTTATTTATTTATTTATTTATTTTAAAAAACTGAATGCAGCCTTGTTTAACAGTAGGGGTGGCAACCTTTAGGGAGATCGTGATTGAATCTGATTCAAGAAATCATGATTCAATTTCAAATTGATTCACAAATCTCCAAAATGAGCTCCACAAATTGCTTTTATTTCAAACAACTCTTTCACTTTCATTTGCAGAACACAAGACAGAAGTGATATATTATATACAGATTATATACAGTAATATTCTGCTGTAGTCTATGATGCCATTAATTTTCCACATTTTGTAGTGATTTTTAAGCAATTCCAAACGGTGACCAAGAACCACAGCAGCACATCTGTGACAATTCGGGGGTTTCGATTTGTGGCATGGCAGGAATACAAAATAAATACTTTGATTCGTTCATCTTTGCCCAAATAAAATGCAGCATACAGTCATCGATTTTTATTTTTCTGTTTTTAGCTCACGTCCAGGCAGGCTTGCACCTTCACCATATAAACTGACAACAGAATTAATTCTGAACAATTGAGAATCGATTCAGAAAAGCTACAGTTAAATCATTTTTTTCCACAACCATATGCCGGAGTCACTATTTTCTGCATGATTTTGCAGTCACAGGTGTTTTCACACTGCATGACTATCTGGGCTAGTGTTCTTCTGCTGCTTTGTTTACACTGGATGATGGATCAGAGACAGGGGGTTTCACACTGCATGACTTTACAATCGGAAGAATCGCCAACAACTTTGTCTCGGTTCACAAACTACGTCTCACAACCAAACACACGCGAGAAGTGACATGGAAACAACGTGAGGTAATGTAGTAGCCTAAATAATAACTAGTCTACATAATGAGATACAAGCCTTAGGTGGGGTAGAAAATTTACTTATTTTGCTCACCTGGTTATTGAAGAGAATTAGCAATTTCTCTTCAACTTTTTTCTTTTTCAACTCAGTTGTGGTATTGCTCAGATGACACGTCAAACAGACATGGGTGCACCTGCCAAATATACACTAGTTTTTCCTCCATTTCTTGAGTCCAAATAGACAGAAAAGAAGCCCTTTTAGCTTCTCCCCCAGCCTCCCGCTGGCCTGCAGATACCCATACTAGTGAATGCTGCTCTCTCATTGGCTGTAGGTAATCGCGGTGTTATTTTCAATCAGAACACATTTCACGTGGCATGATTTTGCAGACTCATCAGCGATTTTCTCAGATCACGTCTTTGATAGTTTACACTGTGTGATTGTTACTCACGTGAACGAGCACTGATTTGCCTGTGATTTCAGGCATTTGCCTGCGATTTCTCAAAGCCTGTTGGCGAGTCATTATCAGAGCTAAAATCATGCAGTCTGAACTCGCCATTAGTGAACAGAAGAGATTGTTTACACTTGACCTGCTGTGTGTGTAATACATGAACGCATTTTTAGTTATCTTACTATTTTTATGGTACTTTAGAGTTATGATGATTTATTTTAGCAACAGCAATAATAATAATAATAATAATAATAATAATAATAATTTATTCTAATAACGTGGTAACATTTCAGAAAGTCGCTGCTTATGTGGCTTACTCTGTGACACACGGACCAGCTCTGCCACGTTCCACACACCTGACGTCACGAAGCAGTCCTGGAAACTTAAGTGCCCTGCAAAAAAACAGAAATGAGAAAACACATGATCAACAAATTATGCTCAAAAAATCAAAACAAAAAAAAACAATATAGTGCTCAGAACAAATGAGTACAACCCCTCACCAGTGTTGCGGAAAGTTACTTTTGAAAGTAGCGCATTACAATATTGAGTTCCTCTCCTAAAAAGTAACTAGTTGCGTTACTTGGTTACATTATATGGTAAGTAATGACTAGGGCCAGACAGAATCTGCAGACATTTTCTGCCATTTCTGAAGAGAATTTTGTAAAATATCTCCAGATTTATGCAGAATGATTTTGGGAGTATCGTAAGTAAAAACTTAATATATGACATAAAAACATAATAGCTTTTTAACTTTTATTTAAAGTTTACAATGCAAACCCAACTAAATCCACTTATTTGGTAAACAAACTTAGTCTATCATATAATACAGGTATATCTACTAAAAGACAGAAAATATTACTTTACAAAATGTATTATAAATAAATCATATGAATATTTTCACATTAGTCAATAATATTACTTAAATTAATTAAAAACTGAATAAATACAAATTTACACACAATTACACAAGTAAATAAAGAGACTCAGTGATGGGCTAAAAATCTGCGGATTTCTCTGCGCACATTCAGATGGGCCTATGAGTTACTTTTCATTTTAAGGTACTTTTGCATTGCTTTTTCTTACCAGGCTAAGGCTTGATCTCTTTCAGATATTGCAGGTTTCTTTTTTTTAAATAGAGGAGCTCTGCAATGAGTAATATAACCTACACCTTTATTTACCTTAAAAAACACATCGAAAACTAATAATGTGGGATAATGCTATCTTCTGAGAGCTTCCTGAGCCCAGAGCTCTACATGCCCATAGATCAATGAAGGTTTAAAGCAATGTGTTTGCTGCTTTTTGTCGTATGAGGGAAGTACAAACCATTTTCATGTACAATTCCTTTTCTTCCATGCGTTCAAAATAATTAACGCATTATTATTTTTAAATTTACTTTTTAAAAGCGAATTATTGAAACAAAAAAGAAACTCGAGTTACATTTTTTAAAAGGCAACTCAAATATTACCTAATTTTTACAGTAATACATTACTCGTTACTTAGAAAAGCAATATTATTATGTAACTTGCATTACTGTAATGCGTTACCCCAACACTTCCCCTCACAGATCTCTCTTTAAAATTTATATTTATTATACTGTAGGATCCTTTGCAATAATACATTTGTGCATATACATTAGATTAGTCAGCAGCGAAGCCAAAACTACAACTTCATTTACTTATTTATTGCCACATCAGCAACTTCAATATGCATAAAACCATTGCATGATAAAAATAACTTCATATTTCAATAAAAGATGATGCACAAACAAACATATACATATACAATATATATATATTTAACTAATCTAACAAAACAAAATATTAATGTTAAAATTAATTAATATTAAATTACATTTTAATAAACTGCCACTTTTGCTAGTTGACAAAACTGAAATTTACATAGTATGATGATGGTCTTATTTTGACTAAGCACAGCTATGAAGCAGAAAGTAGGGATAAAGAGTAAGGGAGGTAAGACTACATTAATTCCCGGCCTTCAGTCGGGTCTAAGATAAATAGATATGCTATAAAACATATTGTTTTTGTATTTTATATACAGTTGAAGTCAGAATTATTAGCCCCCTGTTTATTTAATCCCCGATTTTTGTTTAACGGAGAAGATTTTTTTCCAACACATTTCTAACATAATAGTTTTAATAACTCATTTCTTATAACTGATTTATTTTATCTTTGCTATGATGACAGTAAATAATATTTGACTAGATATTTTTGAAGAAACTTCTATACAGCTTAAAGTGACATTTAAAGGTTTAACCAGGTTCGTTAGGCAGGTTAGGGTAATTAGGCACTTTATTGTATAATATTGGGTTGTTCAATAGACTATCGAAAAAAATATAGAGCTTAAAGGGGCTTTTTTTTCAATTAAAAAAGCTTTTATTTGTACCTAAATAAAAAAAATAAGACTTTCTCCAGAAGAAAAAAATGTTATCAGACATACTGTGAAAATTTCAATAATAATAATAATAATAATAATTTTATTTATAATAAATATAAATATTTTTAATAATTCCAATTCTGGTTTTGTCCATATTTTACCCAAAGTTGGGGCAAAACAACAAACATTTTTTTTAGAATGTACATGATTAATGGACCTTTTTATATTAACTAGATGTAACCTTGCAACTATTTATAAGCTTGAAGAGGGGGGCATATATGGGATGGTTAGCTAATGGTGGTTGCCATTCAAGCTAGAACCGCTACTTTAAACACAGATGAGTGATTCAGCATGTACATTTAATGATGTTAAAGAGGGTTAATATGTACTAATTAGATTATAAACCTTACCATTTTGTGAGTGAGTGCATATTCTGTGCTTCTGAATGGCTGTATTTAAATTTCTGTCGTGTTTCGTCTGGTGCAAACAGCCAAATTGCTTATCGCTGTGTATCTTGTCATGAAGTGTGCTGTTAGGACACGAGGTTACAATGTAACCCGATCATCTGATGTTTATGTTTGTAATATTTAAATCATTTGTTAAATAATAACCTCATGTGGAACTGAATCTGTCTCATTTCGGAGTCTGCTACTGTCCACCGGAGGTCGTATTTCAGTCACGGACGCATGCTTTAAGAGCCTTTTTGAATGACTGAATGAAATTTGCGGTTTTTCATCAAGGCAACCCGGGGTGCTGAAATATAATTAGCTAAACTGGCATTGGACAGGTAAAAATTACCAAAACAAACACAGCGTTCCGGCATGGAGAAAACAGTTTCAAAGCAGAATGTCTGACTTCAGAATTGTTTCTCAGATAAACAAGTATGTTTACCTGGCAGGTTTCTTAAATATCTGCAAACATATTATGGTATTTTTATGCTTTAGAAGAGTCAAAAACTTACAAACAGCACCTTTAAATGTTAAATGTCTATGCCTAAAGATGTTCGGTGATCAAACTCTTATTTTAACAAATATAACAGTTTAATAAATCTGATTTGTATAAATGCACCAAACATGATTGTCAAAAATGCATACAAATGTTCCTTTTCAAATGGTTTGGGCATCCTCATTCATGCTGAGCACTCTATTTACTCATCTGCACCTGTCAAACACACGCACACACACAAAATAAACTGGGCTCGATTGTCATAAAAAGGCCGGGAGCATATAATTACAGCCATCGACTGGCATATGCTCTCGTCTCGCAGGAATAACTGGCTACCCTGTACTTATGGTTAAACTCCAACCCGGTGCTCCAATCTCAGCTTAAACTTAATGAGGACACTAAAAATGCTTTATGTCACAGTTAAGAGTGTGTGCTCAGCTGAAGTGTGTGTGTGAGACGCTGAATACAAATATACATACTTTTTTTCGCTGTGCATATGGGCTTTCAATATGTACTTTTGTGTGTGTGGGCAAAACGGGTGAATGAGCCATGCTTCCACACCCATCTGTGCTGGCTGAGGTCAGCATGTGTGTGTGGGTTAACCGCAGCGAGGCCGGCGCATGAGCTCAGTGTCGCCCGCGCCGCAGCCATGTGGTTCCCATCAGCCAATCAGAGAGTGATTAATGAGCGTTCCGCCATTCACCGTCACAGCCGGCCTAGCAACACTTTACTATAATAAACTCAGATGGAAATGGCTTTCTTTTTTTTTTTTAGCATTTCGAGCAAGAATCAGGAGTGTGTGTGTGTGACGTTGTTAATGTAAATAGAACTTGCTTATGCTATCAAACGGCCCGTATTTGCATGCACAGATTGATCCGCTGACTGGCAGGCGGAGTGGAAAACAGTGTGTGAGATTCCATCAGGCCGTTTCGAACACTCACACTTGTTTTTTATATTGAGTTCCGATGAGTCGTACTACTTGAAAAGGTTTACTCGTTATTTACTAATGCATCCAAAACCTGGAGTTTTTTTATTCTGTTGAACACACACAAAACAAAAAATAATAATTTGAAGAAAGCTGAAAACCGGTAACCATTGACTTCCATAATAAGAAAAACAAAAGGAAGTCAATGGTTAAAGGTTTTCAGCATTCTTCAAAGTATCTTTTTTTGTGTTCAACAGAAGAAAGAAACTTAAACAGATTTGGAATGAATAAAGGATGAGTAAATAATGACCAAACTTTGATTTTAAGTGTACTGTCCCTTTAACCCTTTATAGGGCATAAACTGGAAAAAATCCTGGAGTGTTATAGGTATTTATTAAGGTAGTGGATGGGATTTATTAAGGTCTAGGATTAGCAATGTAGAATAAGATCATGCAGAAAGTGTACTTTACCAAAATATTAATAATAGGCGGCTGTAACCATTGACTTCCAATATAAGAAAAACAAATAAAAGTCAATGGTTACAGGTTTTCAGCGTTCTTCAAAATATCTTCTTTTGTGTTCAACATGAAGAAAGAAAGTCAAAAAAGTTTTAAACAAATAAAATGATGACCCAGCTTTGAGTTTTTGGGAGAACTCTGCTTTTAATCCTTTATAGGGGAGTCATTGGAAAGAGTGTTATTGTGTGTTATTAAAAGATTGTTGAGGTTTTATGACTTCGGAAAATATATATTGCTTCTAATAGCTTGTACAGAATCTGAAGAAACCGATTTTGGGAAAATCGAAGAAAATAGTTTGGTAGAGTTTTCATATTAAGAACTAATTTGCTCACACTTTATTTTAAGGTACAATTATCACTATTAACAAACCATCAACTAAGACTTGCCTCAATTAACTGGTAATTTGCTGCCTACTAATATTGACTAAGGTAGTAGTTGGGTTATAAGAAAAAGAAATGGAAGTCAATGGTTACAGGTTTTCAACTTTCTTCAAAATATCTTCTTTTGGTTTCAACAGCAGAAAGAAAGTAATACAGGTTAGGAACAAGTAAATATGAGTAATTGATGACGACTGACAATGAGTTTTTGGGAGAAATGAACATTTAAGCCTTTATAGGGCGCTCATTGAAAAAAAAAAACTGGAGTGTTATTGTGTGCTAAGACTATTGACGTTTTATGACTGAAAAATATATACTGCAATCAGTGTCAATGAAATTACTACTGTATATATGTTTATTCACCTGATAAATGAGCTTCTAATAGCTTGTACAGAATTTGGAGAAACCGATTTTGGGATAATCAAAACAAGTAGTTTGGTAGAGCTTTCATATTAAGATCTATTTTGGTCACACTTTATTTTAAGGTACAATTATCACTATTAACAATCCAATAACTATGACTTGCCTTAATGAATTGCTAATTTGCTGCTTATTAATATTTATTAAGTTAGTAGTTGTGTGTAGGCAAAATATATTTACAAAAGGGAATATATTAATAATAGGTGGGTAATACGTCACTAGTTAGTAGTGAGAATTGGCACTTAAACGAAAGTGTTACTCTGTTTTAATTCTGGCCTGGATAAACTTAAAGTAAAATCAAAAAATGAACTTATGTGGCATTATTTTGAACAAAATCTTGGCAAAAATGTTGTTTGCAGCTCTTTTTTCATAATTTTAAACAGCTTACCCACACTAAAATTAAACTTGGCATGTTCGCAAACATTATACTATGAAACACCTTTTTTGCAGTAAATAAGCATACAAATGAACTGTAAGTATACTGGGGCCTTTAGAAACAATATTCAAAAATATTGTTTCAATTTTCACCCAAATATTCAATTTCTCAGCATTTATTTTCTCTCAAGTGGTTTCAAACCTTTATGAGTTTCTTTCTTCTGTTAAACACGAAAGAAGATATTTTGAAGAAAGTTAAACCATTTCAGATGTCCATAGCAGGAAAAACAAACGCTATGGAAGTCAATGATTGCAGGTTTCCAACATTCTTCAAAGTATCTTCTTTTGTGTTCAAAAGCCAAAAGAAACAAATATTATTAGTCCAACAGGTTTGAAACAAGTAAAGTGAGAGTAAATGATGATAGAATTTTCAGTTTTGAGTGAACTATCCCTTTAAGCTCCCGTGTTGAATAGTGTTTAGATGTTTGTGTGTGTGAGATTTTCATTGATTTAAAACCCACCATTGGGCGGAGGCTTGATGTCTGCTTCTCCTTGCTGGTTGGAGTTATCCGATTGTCCAGATTCTGCAGAGCCGAGAGGAAAAAGAGAGAGAGAAAGAGAGCAGATTAAACATAGGAGGGCTGGGTTCAGTCCAAAGGTGCCTGAATCAATTAGCAGATGTAGAACATTCGCAATATTCTCTGCCAGCACATTTTCAATGTAGCGCTGAGACGACACAGCTGGAAATGAGACATGCAAAATGTGCTCCAGTTCTGGATCATTTACATCATATTCAGGCAAAATCTGGACCTTTATCCATGAAGTCTGCTGTTCTGTCTTATTGTTAGTTAGAATTTACCTTGTTAAACACTTGTGTTCAAAAGCTTGGGGTCATTTTTTACCGTTTCTGTAAATCTCCTAAGCTCATTTAGGCTGAAGAAAAGACTGTATTATTGTCAAATATTTTTATGATTTAAAATAACTTGTCAACTTGAATATATTTTAAGTCAAACTATTTTTAAGAATAAAAACATTTTGCGGCTTAATCATCTTTGTGGAAACCATAATACATTTTATTTCCGAATTCTTTCATTAATGAACATTTAAAACAACAGCAATTATCCCTTTTATTCAATAAACCTTAGAAAAGTAGTGTATATTACGTTTGTTAAAACACATTATAACTACTTTTTGTTTTGTTTATAGTTAGAGAACTGTACACATCAAACTACATGGATTTTGAAAGCTAGTATTGCTTAGGTCAATAAATAGAGATTATGTTCTAATATTTTATATACACACACAACCATTTTCAACCATGAAATACAACTCTTTAAGTCTGACAACAGACCTCAGGAGGGGTAAAAAACAAAACAAAAAACAGCAACTTCACTTGGTCAGTCATTCTATTTGTAAGTAAAAACACAACCGAAACAATGAACACTATTGTCTGATATTAAACTTCACATTGTGCTGCTAATCTGAAATCGAGTCCATAAATTTGCAAAACATACATCCTGGTGAAACCCAACTATGCCATACAGCTCATGAGATGCAGACAAAAGCTGGTGCCCAGCCATAGAGTTGTTTGGAAAATGTCCTCTTAGGGTTTTTATATTAGAAAATATATAAATCAAACTGATTTGAAAGCTAGTATTGCTTAATAAATAGAGATTATGTTCTAATATTTTATATACGCACAAAACAATTTTCAACCATGAAATACAACCCTTTAGTCTGACAACAGACTTCAGGAGCGATAAAAACAAATCATTTACAACAACTAGACTTGCTCAGTCATTTTTAATTATCCATTTGTGAGTAAAAGCACAACTGAAACAATGGACACACACTAATGTCTTAACCTTTTTAAGACTTTTTAAGCTTAACCTTGTGCTGCCAATCTGAAATCGAGTCCATAAATCTGCACAACATACAGTACATCCTGGGGAAACCCAACTCTGCCATACAGCTCATGAGATGCAGACAAAAGCTGGTGCGCAGCCATAGAGTTGTTTGGAAAATGTCTTCTTAGGGTTTTTATCTTAGAAAATATGTAAATCAAACTGATTTTGAAAAGCTAGTATTGCTTAGATCAATACATAAAGGATAAATTCTAATATTTTATATACACACAAAACCATTTTTAATCATTAAATACAATATAATAGTCTGACAACAGACTTCAGGAGTGATAAAAACAAAAAAATACGACAACTAGACTTGGTCAGTCTTCATTTTTTTCTCCATTTGTACGTAAAAACACAAACGAAACAAAGGAAACACACTATTGTCCGATTTTAAGCTTTAAATTGTGCTGCTAATCTGAAATCGAGTCCATAAATTTGCAAAACATACATCCTGGTGAAACCCAACTATGCCATACAGCTCATGAGATGCAGACAAAAGCTGGTGCCCAGCCATAGAGTTGTTTGGAAAATGTCCTCTTAGGGTTTTTATATTAGAAAATATATAAATCAAACTGATTTTGAAAGCTAGTATTGCTTAATAAACAGAGATTATGTTCTAATATTTTATATACACACAAAACAATTTTTAACCCTGAAATACAACCCTTTAGTCTGACAACAGACTTCAGGAGCGATAAAAACAAATCATTTACAACAACTAGACTTGCTCAGTCATTTTTAATTATCCATTTGTGAGTAAAAACACAACTGAAACAATGGACACACACTAATGTCTCATTTTAAGCTTAACCTTGTGCTGCTAATCTGAAATTGAGTCCATAAATCTGCAAAACATACATCCTGGGGAAACCCAACTCTGCCATACAGCTCATGAGATGCAGACAAAAGCTGGTGCCCAGCCATAGAGTTGTTTGGAAAATGTCTTCTTAGGGTTTTTATCTTAGAAAATATGTAAATCAAACTGATTTTGAAAAGCTAGTATTGCTTAGATCAATACATAAAGGATAAATTCTAATATTTTATATACACACAAAACCATTTTTAATCATTAAATACAATATAATAGTCTGACAACAGACTTCAGGAGTGATAAAAACAAAAAAGTACGACAACTAGACTTGGTCAGTCTTCATTTTTTTCTCCATTTGTACGTAAAAACACAAACGAAACAAAGGAAACACACTATTGTCCGATTTTAAGCTTTAAATTGTGCTGCTAATCTAAAATCTAGTCCATAAATCTGCAAAATATACATCCTGGTGAAACCCAACTCTGCCATACAGCTCATGAGATGCAGACAAAAGCTGGTGTGCAGCCATCAGATTGTTTGGACAATGTCTCCGTAGGCTTTTTATCTTAGAAAGTATAGTGATCTTGGAGCGAGACCAGACCCCTGCGGCTGTTTGAATTGGCCGAGACTTGCTTTAACCTCTTTTTTCTATATGCACCGAGGTTTCGGCTAACTATAGCCCTTCAGAAGGACGTCACATAGTTAGTTTGACCTTTACGTCAGTCTGAGGAGTGAGAAATATTTCAGCCCATCATACAGCATGGTTTTAGTGCAGTTCTGGGTGGTCAAGTCCAACAGAGATATGGAGATATGGCTCAAAGATGACTGGAGAATAGCAGTAGCGATGCTTAGCTTTAGCACGCAACCCTAATTATGTGCATCAACATAACGTGGCTTTAAAACCAACGGTGTATATTTTGAAGAGACAAAAAAGAAACAACAAATGCGACAGCCTCTTCTTTTTTCTCTCTCGCACCCCCTCGTCCGCTTGCTGCTGTTGTTGTATGGAGTCCTGGCAGCCATCTTAGCGCTTGGCAGCCATCTTAGCATTGGCGGTACCAGAGCATTCCAGCTAGCTTACAAAAGCACCCACACACAGACACACTCCTCTCACAGAGAGAAAAACCTCTCCACCAACACGCGATACGCTAAAAGCCTCGCAAATGAAGGTTATTTTCAGCTACTTGTGCTAAATGCTAATTGAGGGGGGAGAATATGGACTGTCGGCGCTTTTTGTTCGCAGATTCACATTGTGGCCTATACTGTGAGGTGTGACTGCTGGTTAGTTAGCATTTTCCTGTTTCTAATGTTATATTTGCACATAAAAAACTTTAGGAAATGGCTTTGATCAACTCAGTGGTTACACAATCTACTTTGGTAGTAAAATGATGGTAGTGTAATATTTCATAATATTAATAGCTCCACATCAGCCTGAAAATATAATAATGTAGGAAAATATTTTAAAATAAATATGCTACTATGATGCCATGTCCCAAATTCACAACAACACTATAATACTGCCATAGTAAATTGTTAAATAAATGATGCGCAATACACAGTATATATGGTTAGTTAATATTTGAAGTAGTAGATTAACAACTTATCAAAGTTTTACTAACATCCTAACAACAACCATTCTTGTTCCAGGACATTTTATAGAACTGAAAGGTTGACTACTGTATATATACATACATGTATACACTGTATACACACATAAATTAAACAAAATAAATACATGTTCCATGTATTATAGTGTTTTCAGGATTATACCAATGTCAATTACATTTAATATTGCATTGCAATATATCAATTATATGTAATATTGCACTGTAATACACTAATTATATGTAATCTTGTACTGATATATACTAATTATTATATCTAATATTGCCTTGCAATATACCAATTATATGTAATATTCCATCGTAATACACCAATTATATGTAATATTGTATTGTAATATACTAATTATTTCTAATATTGCCTTCCAATATACCAATCATATGTAATATTGCTTTGTAATACACCAATTATATGTAATATTGTACTGATATATACTAATTATATCAAATATTGCCTTGCAATATACCAATGATATGTAATATTGCAATGTAATTCACCAATTAAATGTAATATTGCATTGTAATATACCAATGATATGTAATATTGCAATGTAATTTACCAATTAAATGTAATATTGCATTGTAATATACCAATTATATGTAATATTACATTGTAATATGCCAATTATATGTAATATTGCATTGTAATATACCAATTATATGCAATATTGCATTGCAATATACCAATTATATGCAATATTGCATTGTTATATACCAATCATTTGTAATATTGCATTGTTATATACCAATTATTTGTAATATTGTATTGTAATATACTAATTATATGTAATATTGCCTTGCAATAAACCAATTATATGTAAGATTCCATCGTAATACACCAATTATATGTAATATTTTATTGTAATATACTAATTATTTCTAAAATTGCCTTGCAATATACCAATCATATGTAATATTGCATTGTAATATACCAATTATATATAATATTGCATTGTAATATACCAATTATATCTAATATTGCATTGTAATATACCAATTATATGTAATATAGCATTGTAATATACCAATTATATGCAATAATGGGTATCTGTCATCTATAAGACTGTCCATTGGACAAATTATTCCCTCTATCTTAAGTGATGTAATTTGGCAATCTCGGCCTCTATTGCTTACCGCCCCCTTGTGGTGTGGAAGTATGAGTTCAGCTTAGGGAGATGTCTCGGATGACCTCCAATCCAATTACATGGCACATTAGTGCAGCTCACTATGCAGAACTGGAC